TGAGGGGAGACCTCATCGCTCTCTACAACTACCTGAAAGGAGGCTGTAGCGAGGTGGGTGTTGGTCTCTTCTCCCAAGTAACTGGCGATAGGACGAGAGGAAATGGCCTCAAGTTGCGCCAGAGGAGGTTTAGATTGGATGTGAGGAAAAATTTCTTTACTGAAAGAGTAGTTAAACGTTGGAACAGGCTGCCCAGGGAAGTGGTTGAGTCCCCATCCCTGGAAGTATTTAAAAGACGGGTAGATGAGGCGCTTAGGGACCTGGTTTAGTGGGCATGGTGTTGTTGGGTTGACGGTTGGACTCAATCTTGGAGGTCTCTTCCAACCTTAATGATTCTATGATTCTATTAATACTGAAGGAAAACGTGTATCTTATTGCATAGCTTAGTCCTTTATGTCATGTCATCTCTAATATGAAAAATCACTTTTAAACATAGCATCAAGTAGTGAGTCTTTCTGTACACTCAATTTACTGCTGCAAATACATGGTATGTTTATATGTTATGGTTTATAAATTATATAAATCTGATTTATGTTAGAAGTTGATAAACCAATGAAAAGCAATGAGATCTTGAATGAGATAAACTGCCAAGTATAATTTGGTAGTGTACTGGTAAGGGAGAACAAGGAGGGGGACAGGGAAAGAAAGGATTGGAGTTCATTTGTGAAGAACCAAGTATGGAAAATTATGATGCGAATTGTTAGTATTAGGAAATATACTTACTTGGCTTACAGCAGTGGGGACAACTTGCATGAAGAGCCAAGAATTTAGCATACAGAAGATGGAGTAATAGCAGTAGTATTAAGAAACAGAACCAACTCAGACTGTAAAGTCACTTTGGATTGATCATAATGTAAGATGTGAATGGTGCAGTAAGCCACCTGTGGGTGGCTGAGTCAGTGACTGCCTGTTCAGAATTGCATCTGATTCTTCTGAGTTGATGTATACCTAAGCTTTATTTATTGTACAAGGATTTAGTCATGGCTGATACTATATAGTCGTGGCTGCCTGTCAAAGTTCAAATGTTTCACAAATATTAATGGTTTTACCCTTCAAACTTAAACAATGTAAGAATTTTAGATGTTTGGTAGTTTGTTTTGAATAGCCTAGGGAAGTATCCTAAAGTGTTTCTGAGGTTTAGACTACACCGCCTGATTTCCGCCCGCCCTGCCCCTTACCCTTCTTACATAGATACTTAGTGCTTTCTGTGTTCAGGTCAGATTCAGACTGACTGCTGAAGTACTGAGATTTCAGTTGAAACTGCAGCAGTGAGTCTCCGTTATTTCAGACAGGCTATGCAAAACAATGACGAACATGCCATTAGTACTACCAGTAAAAAAACCTAGTCTGAGGTCACATAATATCACATGGAAACTATACAGAAATAAGGACTGGCTTTATACAGGAGAAGGCTGCTTTAAGCACAATTTCTCTGTTCTCTTCCTGGGATCCCTTGCCTCATAATGTCTTCCTCTTAGGCAACACAGAAAGCAGGAATCCTGTGGTCAGGTTACCCTCAGTAGGTAAACTTGACTCCTTCTTCCTGTTCTCTTCAACCTCTCAGTCCTGACTTTCCTCCTCAACATGAATTTCATTTCATCACCCTGATTCCCCAGTTCTTCCTCCTCCTGCAGTTTTGCCAGGTTGCTTTGTTTCCTATGCTGTTCCTATGTTATATTCCTACTCCTGAGTACTGGAAAGGGATATAAGGGAGATAGGTATCTCAGGGAAATAGTAGTGGAAGGTTTTGAGTCAGTCTTTCTTGTTTGGTTTTCTCATCATGCTTTATCTGCATGCTTTCCAGAAGTGCAGTTGCAGGGAAAGGTCACTTCAGCCCTTCAGCTCTGTAGGAAGCAGAATAATTGCTTCTGAGGACACCCAGGATCTGATTAGCAGTAGGAATTGTTTGGAGGTGGAATATGCATAGGGCAGATGGGATCTTTGGTGAATTAAGCTGTCAGTGCTTAACAGCTTTCTGTTGAAAATGTGCAAATTAGAATCGGGCAAAAGTCACAACTTGTCTAACTGGGTTGAATTTTGATAGGGGCAACAAACAGTGTATTTCTTATGTTAGAGGAACATGGTTTTACCGAATTCTATGTCCTTTCCTCAAAATATATAAATCCTGGATCATCCTAGTGAAACAGTTGTATAGAACTTTTTGGTTTGTTTTTAAACTAAGCAAAATAGATGTTCCCTTTGAAATATAGGAAAATTATCTGAGGAATGATTTCCATGTAAACTTCCTTTATTTTTCCCCCTTCATCTCTGCAAAGGGGAGGAAGGGGAAGAAGAAATTGACTTGTCAGACACTTGGTTTATGTGAATAATTTAAGTTTGGCAATATTAGATACAGCCTTAAACTGTCCTACGATTAGAAAATGTAACTAGAGGCATCCAATTTTTATATAGCACTATTTTAATTTATTCTCTGCATGGATGCCATGCTGGATTTAAGAAACTAGTAGTTTTCACTTATACTTATTGTACTGCCTAAACAAAACAGTAACACACCTTTTATCTTTTTAGAACTATTATATTGAATTAGGATTGTGAAGCACACTGTATTCACAGCTAAATTCTACCATTATGCTCCCTGCTGGAAAGCATGAGGGAATCTTCCAATATTGTGCCTTGCTTCTTATGTATAGAGGAATACCTCAGTGTGTGTATGTGTATGTATATGTGGACACATTACATAGAAAAAACAATATTTTTCCTCACGCTTGCAAATATATCTTATTTTGACATTATTGATTAGTGAGAAGTTATAGGGAATCTTATAGATACATAAAGTGTATATAGAAAGATAAGATATATAACTGATGTGATTTTTGTTTTTGAAATTTGTAATTGCATACTCATTTAGAAAATGCTGTTGTCTCTTTCAGATGTAATTATTATATTTTGCTTACAGCTCAAAACAGTCTGAATGTTCTTCTGATGCCTTTATTTGTTGCAGGAAACATGAAAGAAAACTGAAGCATGATGAAATACGTAAGAAGTATGGTATGTGGTAATCTTGTTTTGATATTCAGTATCTAAATTGACTCCCTTTTCCTAATTATTAAAATTTACAGCAGAAACAAGCTGCTTTATAAGCAGCAGAAGGAATCAAGCCCAGTTTCCTACTGATGCATGTTTTATGTCACCTGAACACCTGATCTCATCACTATTATGCTCCTGTTCTCTTCCTGCACTGACTCTCCCACTGGGCAAGAGACAATGTGCCGGATGGGGTGTTTGCTTGGGGTGGACATTTAAATATATTGATAAAAATAAGTAGTTCTTTCTGTCTCTTCCTAGGTAAGAGTACTGATTTGGGAGGGGGAGTTTGTTTGTTCTTGAACTTGATAAACCAATGTAGTGGAAACTGGCTAGTAGACTCATGGTTATTGAAGGAGATAGACTGACTAGCAGATAGCAAGCTTTTTAAATCAAGCTTAAAGAAGGATGGAGGATGCAGCCTAACATAGGGATTAAAATTGTTTTTTCTTTGCTTTTAAGTGGAGCTGTGGTCCAGTAGGAGAAGCATATCACAAGACTGTAGGACCTGCTGTGTTGTATAGGAGGTTCTTCTTATCTAGGCTTGTCAGTGCTTGCACTTTTTATTTGATTTGTTCATAGGGTTAATAGTACTGTGTATTCAGAGACAGATATGCTAAAGCTATGCTGCACTTTTTATTATGCAAATTGCACTAATGTCAGAGAAGGTGATTCTAGGGGTCTGAACAGTCACTCAAAACTGTTAATTTTCATCCTCTTGTTAAATTGATTGGCAGAGTCTGGGAATGCCTTCATGAATCTGCAGCCTGCCCTTTGGCTGATGCAGAAGTGATACAGGCAATCTCTACAGGGAATTCTTTGCCTGGGGAACATATGCAAAAGTATGCTCCTTTGCTGGAATGGAGGAAAAATTCACTGTGAAGCTTGAGCTGCAGGAGGAAGAATGTTGTAGAAACTAGAAGTAATTTTTGTTAAACATCAGTCATGAAGGTCTTGTGGTATTTTATAGGATAATTGACCCTGTATCCCAACCACAGTTCAGTTTCAAGAGGTTTGTTTGAGTGATTGACAACAATAGTCCAGATGTAAAAAAACCAAACAAAATCCAAACAACAACATAAAATAACACACACTTTTTGTGTTTGTTTCTCCTTAGCAGAGACCTTAGAGTCAATCTCAATTTTGAAGCATTGGGATAGATCTGGTGAAGAACTTAAGACACTGGCTATGTCTCCAAAATAGCATGCAGCACTCTACAGATACACATATAACTTTGCATCTCCTTGAGGCAGTGCAGTGGAGTGAACAAGGTCCTAAATTCAGTATAGCAGTTAGTGTATCAAAGCAGTGCATTGGGGTTAAGTGATCTTTCAGAAGGCTGTGTTCAGTTATATTCTGCTTGTGAAACTAGTTCACTTGTCTCTGGATGGTCCTACGTTTTAGTGAAGGCAACTCTCTCTTCAGTGTTTAACGTTCAGACCTTTATGGAATGCTTTGTGGGATCTTGTTGGAGTACCAAGTTTCCTGAGGAATATAACTGTATAATTCTGTGCCTCTGGAATACATACACCAAATTCAAAAAATCTTGCTTGTAGCTATACTATGCACATCATCATATGAGAGCTAGTGTCATTTTTGCCTCCACTTGAAGCATGTTAATCTATCAATGACTTAATTAGAAACAAGTTCATACATTCATTGTGTTAATGGAAGGCATACCTTCTTATGAGGAGTCAGGCATATTCATTTCTTCATGCAGTTATGTTTTGCAATGCAGTTTACCTGCAAAAGATTGTAATTCAACTATAAAACTTAAATTTCAATAGCAAACTTTTATATAGAAGTTTGTTTATTGACAGGTTTGCTTTATTGTGTATTCAAATATTAATTTATATTATCAGATATATTGATTTGAGGCCTGAATTCTCAAAATTCATTTTTGTCCTAAAGAAAAACCCAACTCTTACATGAATAGTTGGCACATACTGAAAGGATACATGTAACTAGGAAAAATGAAAGATAAAATACGTATAAATTCTGAAATCCCTAAATAGTATTGCTGATGTCTATAGTTTATATTCTGATAACATACAGACAAATGGTTGTCAAAATAATTCAGTGAAACATAATAGAGTAAGTCTTGCTGTAGCCTTGGATCTTCTGTCTTCATTTTTCACTGTCTAGTAAATATATATGTTAGCATATTAAACATAATCTAATAAAAATTGCTGCAAATAATTATGGAGACACTAGATATTTTACTCTTACGCACTGCAGAGAGGATTCTCAGTTAAGTAGGCATGGATGAGTGGCAGAATGACAATGACTTTGTTAACCTGACTCTGTAGATTAAGATGATCATGCCTGAAATTTCAGTATTTGGTTGGCTTTAAGGGAATGCCTTTTCCCATTTCATCCAACAGCTTTCCTTACCCCATTTAAATGGTAATTACACATTTATAATGCATTGCAGGTGTCACTCTAGCCACAGTCCTTTGGGAGCATTGGAAGCAATAGAGAGCTTTAGCAACCAGGAATACACACTTTGAATTGTTTCTTTGTTGCAGAATTTGATCGTATTTTTCATTTGCTCACATATATGAATGCAATATGATTACACAAATTATATGTTGACTGTTACAAAATTTTAAAGTAGAATTCAGAGTACTTTGCAGCTTGTGTAGTATACAAAGGAACTACAATTTAATTGCTGCTGCATTTGCTGCTATTGTATGTTCAGTATAGCATTAGTGAGAAGCTGCTTTATTTATTTATTTCAGGATTTTGCCTGGTATTAGTGGAAGGATTCTATTTCTTCACTTTTACAAAATTATTGCCTTTCATGATTTTGGGCTTCCACACCACTTGCTTCAGTTCTGCAAAGGTTTTGATCAGCCAATTTAATGTAATCCTATGTCCTTTATTTTATGTGAGACGTTGATTTTTTTATATTCAGTAGTTTGTCACAGTAAATGTTCCTTCTGTTCAAGATAGGTGCTTTATCTTGACCTTCTTTAGTGTGCTGAATGCAAAGCAGGGAAATGTTGTATTGCTATACACTTAAAGCTATTTAGTTTGTATGTTAAGAATAGAGTTGTTAATTCGGGGGTTAAAAATAAAGAGGAAAAGTGCAATAAGGGGTGAAGATACACAGCATATCACAAACTAGTTCTTTTTTTTTTGCAGTGTATACAGTCTCTCGCAAGTATTTCACTTGTTAATTCTATTTTTGGGCAGTGCTGATATGTGAGGGTCAGATCTCAGTGACTGAGAAGCTGCATAGTTAGCATAGTATAGAATATAAATGAATATGCTGGAAAGAGGTATTAATTTCTTACAATTGCTTTGTCATTTCATACATATTAGGAGGCCTCATTACTTCATACAAGCTAATGAAAGATACCTGACTACTATATCTTTCAAATTTTTGAGTGTTTCTTAAATACTGCTAAGGAGGTCAATTATTAACCTCAAAATGAAGGTAAATAGAAGCAAGATGTTGAATATTGACACACAGGACACTTGCAAGAACTTTAAGTTCAGCAGTAACATGTAATGGACTTTATTGCAAACAAGACTCCTGAACCTACAAACATCTAGCTTCTCTGAACCTGTAAGTGTAAATAACAAGTTGGGTAGTTGCTCTCATGTCAAATGGGAAACAGTTGAGAGAGACAACTCATTTCTGGTTCAAGGCAGCACATGAGCTTTAGCTGAACCAGACATGCTATCCAATTAGCATAGGCTTGCAGCTCCTCTTTGAGTGTCACGGCTAAGAGCAGCTGTGGCAGCTGACAGGAGCTTTTTGTCATGCTCCTTTTTTTGTGTATCTCTCTAGATTGCTTTTGTCCACTTATTGGAGCCTGATACAACTTCTTCAGTAAGAATTGGCGCAAGTGATGAGCTGCTGTCTCCCTCCTCTCACTTAATGTAATCTTATGACATACTTAGAATGCTGAGGATAAAAGAAATTTAAACACTGGATGCAGATTTGAGAGCAAGACTGAGAGCAAGGTCTATCGGATGTTGTAACCTCTGTGGTTACGCTCATTTGGAAGGAGGGCTTGCCATTTTTCTTGGAGTACCTTCTTTCCCAGGAGATGAATTTCTGAAGTCATGACCAATAATACTCACACTAGATTAACCCATAGTTCTTAAGGCCTTTTTACTTCCAGTATTGTACAATAAAATAGATCAGAGAACTTTAACTTAAACATGCTAATGCGTGATTGGTGGTAATTATATCTGTTCATTCCTAAACATAATTCAGTAAAATTAAAGCAAGTTCTGCTGGGAATGGCATTTGCAATAACAAGTAAAAATTACACATTCACTTGAAATATGAGGAGTAGTTATCTAAAGTGACGTTTGGCTGAGTGTTTTGGGGCAGGGGCAGATAAAAGTATATTTGCTCCTCAGAATGGTATAGGGAAAGTTTATCAGGAATCTTACACTGTCCTCTGATTAACTTGAAATTGGCACTACTGGGTGTAGAACATCATTTCCATTGGATTTCAGCTCTTTAAGCTGTAAGAGAACAGTGTCTAGTGTTTTACTGTGCTACTTACATACTTGACACTTCCTAAGTCTGAATCTTGAACAAAATATGAGAAAGACATAATAAGTACTTGCCAGCTTATATAGAAAGAAGTATGCAATCTCAGTTAGTTTTGTCAGGGAATCTGGTACCACCTTTTGCCACTTTGTGGAAAATTTTTTTGAAGTTTGGTGCCTTGATTTCTAAGTGGAACTTAATGGGTGCAGGGAGTTTATGCAATGCCAATTGTACTAAAAATATGTTAATTTCTAGTACTGTTGCTAATTTTCTGTAAATGTTGTGTAGTTGTGTTTTGTATTTGGAAGGGGTGAAATACAGAAGTACTGCAAAACTTTTGAAAATTGGACTACTCATTTGTCTTTCAGGTAACTAAATATATTAGGATCCATAGATCCTAGCTGCCGAAGTATTAACATGTCTGGAGGAAGGAGGGGGTGGTGTGGTGATCTGGAAATAAAGTAAATGTTTCTTCTCTGTGTTTGGGTTAGGTTTATACTAATGTAGGAATGTTACCTGAAGGCACCAAAGATTGAATGGTAGGCCAAGGATAAGAGCTTTTTTATTGTGTGTTAACTTGTCAGCTAGATTAGACTTAACAGACACTACAACTGTTTAAACACATGAAAGGTAAGATTAAAATTTGAGAAATACCTGCTTTCTAAAAGTTTAAAAACAAAAGTTTCAAGAGCTCAAAATATTGTAGATAATTCTTGACAGTGCTGTCATCTAACCATATTCTTATTGCACAAATGCTTAAAAGATTTTTTTTTTAAAGCAATTACAGAAAGGGGTAGTACCTTTGATGCAAGGTACTATACCAGGTAAATAGACTGTATTTCATGTTACCCAGCTGAAGCTTTGTAAATGTGACTGGCTTACCCCTTCTTTGACAAGTAAGGGCCATTATGTATGAGGGCTGATTTTGATTTTTAACTCTTTACAAATTGACTGCTTGTAATCTTGTCAATTTGAATAATTATAGGATTTTTCATACTCACTCCTTAGTATTTGCTGTTCCCTATCAGGTAGGCAGTTGCAGTTACTGATACAATAATCAGCACTAAGCAGTTGTGCTTCTTGATTGACATCTTAAAATAACCTGGCAGTTCAAAAGAAGTGCAACAAGGTAGACAAAAGTATAGTCTGCCTTCGGTGCCATTAGCTTTTGACTTTCAGGTAGAACAGTGGATGTTCAATATCTGTGGGCAGGTGCATGTGGAAAAAAGGTACGGTATGAAAAGGTCTGAGGGGAGTTCTTACAAGGTTTGGCAGTGACTAGTGTAATCTTTCTCTTCCACTATTGTGAATCTGAACATTTGTGGATTGGGGTTGTTTGGCTTAGCTGTGTTCTGTCTCCATGCCCTAAACAAATGAGCTAGAGAAGAGTCCAGGCTTGCCAGACATCGGTATAAAAATCTTGGTAGGAAAGATAGTGGTAGTCTTCCTGTTCTTTCACAACAAAAGGTCAGCCTCTGGACTCCTATGGGACTCCTTTATTTTCAGTATGCAGTTCTGCCTAGCCCAAATCTGGTGTGCGGTTTAAAGTCTCTTTGAAACAATTGCTGTATGGAACAGCAATTGCTCAACTAACCCTTACAGAAGATGGTATGCATATCCAGACACTCAGCATAATTGGATGGCTTTGCAATGCTTTCTGTGACAGCATTCTTGTAAAGTCATTAAGAATCCTCATGATGGAATCATACTATAACCTGGATTAAGTGATGCTCTTGTTCTGGTCCCTGGAGGTTTTAGTGCATGTAGGAGTGATCTTCATTTGTTCTTAGAGATTATTGTCCTGTTGCAGAAATGCTGTAAGTGGCTGAACGTGACAGATGGTTGTGTATAATCAAAGTAGAACTAAGTCAAAGTAGCAGCATCTTACATTTTAAAGGGATGATGATCTTATAATAACTTGAATTTATAAACTGGCCAGTCTGAATCTGTTCTTCCTGAGCCATCTCTATGCTTAGGTTTTTGTAGACTTGACTCCCTCACAAATGCATTTTGTAGGGTATACCTCACAAATGAGAAATCTCTTTTTCATAGAGAAATGTTCTCTTCCTGCTAAATCATGAAATACCTATTCATTATTATAGTCTGAGAAATAAGAGTGCTTAAGAACACTTTCAATTTATTATTATACTTGAGTGTTTGGGTAATAGAGCAACTATTACAAGAATTGCCTCTTGGTTTTGTTATATGGAGTACCTATTACAGTGGGGTCAGTAACTCAGGTTTTTATGTAATACTGGTAAGAAAATAAATGCGGTCCTATTTTGTTTTACAGGTCTTCTCCAGGATTCTGATAATCCATACAGCAGATTTGAGAATGAATAAAGCTGAGCACCTTCCACTAGAGCTGTAACTCCAGAATACAGGAAGACAGTTTGTTTTCATTTGCCCTTTGGGCTCTTTTTTTTCCCCAAAGGTTTCTTTTCCTGGTTGTAAAACTAGGAGTGGATAAAGACTTCATGAAATATGTGTTTCTATCTTCTATCTATATAGAGCTAATTTTTTATAAATGCTTTTGGTTGTTGAAATGTTTGCTGACTTTTTTATGGTGACATTTAAGTGTGAAATACTCTTTCCTCTGCTTAAAACTGTATTTTATTACTTGATGTAGATGGCTAATAGTCACAATCATGTGTTTTGAATTCAGTCTTGACTGCCACTTAAACAGTTGTTCCCATGTTCCTAAATAAAGATTTTTCCCTACTGTATCTTTTTTTTAGGAAAATAAAAGGCAACATGGAAGCACAGCTTCACACAGCAGAAATAGCTGATGTTGGTATTGATGAGAAAATACACCAGGCCCATTCTTATCTACCACCATTATGTGAGAATTGGGTGGAGTTTTCCCCCCCCCCCTCTGTAAAAAGATCTTCAAGAGTGTAATGTCTAAGGGTTGAGAGAGGGAAGCATGTTTGTCTTTGAATAATTCAAACTCAGTTTTGGAAATGTTAATATGTACTTTTGATGTATTACTGATGTTAAAAAGAAATTACTTCAGTTAGCAAAATTGAAGAAGGTCATTCTTGAAATAAACAGTTATGTGTGCCTAAATTTAAGAAGAAACATCAGCCTGTGAACACTTTCTTCTTCTGTAAGCTTAATGTATAACTAACACCCACCCCCCAAAAAAAAAAAAAATTCTGCAGTTTAGCAGGGTTAACCCTGGTCTGCAGCTAAGCACCACCCAGCTGCTTGCTTCCTCCCTCCTTACAGCGGGATGAGGGAGAGAATGGGAACAGCAAAAGTGAGAAAACTCTTGTGTTGAGAAAGACAGTTTAATAAGTGAAGAAAAGGAAGGTAGGGGGAACAAGTCACGCAAAGGCAATCACCACCAGTTTTTGTTGCTGAGCATGGTGATGTATGGCCTGGAATATCCCTTTGGTCAGTTCCGGCCAGCTGTCCCAACTGTGTCCCCTCCCAGCTTCTCGCCCACCCCTGGCCTACTTGCTAGAGTGGGGGGGGAAAAAATGACACCTTGATGCTGTGCAAGCAATGCTCAGCAAAAGCCAAAGCACTGGTGTGTTATCAGCACTGTTGTAGCCGCCAATCCAAAGCAAAGCACCATAGGGGCTGCTATGAAGGAAGTTACCTCCATCCCAGCCAGACCCAGTGCGGTAAGAAAGCAGTATTTTTTTTATCCTTTTATTGTTCTTTTGATATTTCCATAATGTGATTTATTTCCTCTTTCTTTTCATAGAGGTGTTTCATTGAGCTTTTTTTACTAAGCGTACCAGTATGACGCAACAAGCAAAGAGCTCCTCTTCTGCCCCCCCCCAGTCTAATGCGAGTTCCCATTTATTCTGTACACTTTAAATAACCTCCCTTGCTGTATATTATCCATTAAACAAATGTACAGTATTGAAGATGTTCATGTTATTTTTATCAAGGTTCCTAAAATAAATACTTTAACATCTTTAATTTGATCCTGTCTGGCTCTGTTGTTCCATACAATTTTAAATTAATTTGGTTTAAAAGAAGTGATCAAGTATGAGTTTGGGAGAAGGGAAAGGATGCATTTTTGCTTTTGCTGTTTTTCTGACAGAAGAATAAATCTTGACAGCACATAGATGTGGTGGGAATTAAATGTTGCCTGTGCGTGATGAGGTGAATTGCCATTCCTTCCAGTGCCTGGAACCAAGAACCTGCCTCTACGTAGGCTTTAGTAACTACTATCACTTACCACTGATTTTGGTACAGTGTTCACTTCCATTCTTTCACTGTTTTCTACCTCTGAAAACAGTTTCTCTATATACAGTTTCTCAGGAATGTATATAAAAATATGTTTCCCAGTTCCTGAATCTGTGTTGTAATTAGTGTTAGTGGAATAATGGTCCAGTTCTCCTTTTTTCCTTTTTTCTTAACTCATATTTAGTACTTTATTAGTAGGCACTTTATTAGTAGGCACTGTGTTTAATTTCATATGTTTCTTCATCTGTCAGCTATTGTCAAGTCTGAAGTATTATTCAAATGGCTGTCTTTGAAGAATGATGGTCTGTGATAAGAGTGAGTTGATAGTGTGGAAATAAAACATGCTGATGGTTTTCCCTGGAGATAACTTTTGCAAAAATGATGAAGGTCTGCCTGCTGTCTCACGACCCAAGTAGTGACATTCCTGACTTAATAGAAAAGCATTTTTCTTCAGCACCTGCTACAGTATATGAAGGGCTGTCACATATTCTAACAAAAGGGGGAGGGGGGACAACCTTTCTTACAATATCAAAGTAATAAAGTACTTGGGGAACCAAAATACTTTGAGAATACGGAACGGGTGCTGCATTGCTGGAGAATAGTTGTGTTACACTTGAAGAGAAGGTTGAGTGAAATCTGTGCAATCTTACACACCGTGTTAGCTTGTTGTTCCTAAGCCACAGCTGGGGGCATCAAAAGGTAACAACTCTGGTCAAATTTATCTTAACCAGACTTACCATATACTAAGCCTTAACTTTACAGTGTAGGCTACAATGTCAAGCTGGACATCTAATACTGTATAATTTTGCTTATGCAGTTAAAGATAAGACTGTTAATTTAATGACACTTGTGGACAGCAGCCTTACATCTTAATAGAAAATGCAAAAATCCCCAAATAATCCCCAGGCTTTTCAGATTATTTAACCTTTCTTTGCTGTGCTCCTTGGAGCAATTAATTGGATGGTAAATATCCTTATTTCAGTATATTAATTGCAGCCTTCTCTGCTTTCCTGTATGTCAGTATTTCTTACTTTCACAGAAATACTGGATTTGGCTTATCAATAGAAAGGTTGCTAGTCTTTGTATTTCAGTGTAGCCACAAGTAATTGGGAAAACAGCTGTAGAAAGAGGTAACATTGTATCTTGGGTTCTCAGGTATGTGAACAAAGGCATTTATCACTTTCAGTATGCGCTTCCCCTCCTCCACACCTTTTCAATAAAAGAGAGAGAAGGGATGCAACGTATAAACAAAATGAAAGTAGGGATACAGCATAACCGAAGCCTGAGAGCCCTAATACCTCTGCTAATCATCTGTTTTTCTCAGACTTGCCTTTCATTCACACTCTATTCTCTCTTTCCTCTGTCTTTACACTTCTCGTTTGGTGGGTTTTGCTTGTTAATTTTACTAGTGAAGGTATTACTATCTGGAAAAAAAAGCAATCTTGGAAATGAAAAAGTTAGAATGTGTGTTTATCTTTCCACAGAACAGAGCTTCCAGTACTGAAAACTCAAGTGGGTCAGCTTTAAGAGTCATGTTGCTGGGTGTAATTTATTTATGTAAAGAGAATTTTAGTAGATTGAAGCATGCTGGTTTAATTTATCTTAATGCAGGAACATACTCTTTGCCACTTCTGAAATCTTGGATTTGATGATGAGTCCATTAAGTTGTCTGCACCATGTCTTGCTTAATTGTTATTTGATTATTAAGTAGGCATATGGAAATAATTTTGAAAAACAGTCAATTTTCTGTCTGGTTTTTTCCCTTACGGTATCTTTGTTTCAGACTCCCATAGATAGTTTTCATCGTCTATCCTTTCAAAAAATCAGTGTGCCAAACTGCGGTTTCTTATTACACCGAGTACGTGCCTGAGGAGTGGCTCTGCACTGCATGCCAGTGTCTTGCAACCCTAGGGTGCCCCCAACTGAACTGCTGAACATGCAGTTCGGTAGATTTTTAGATGGTCCAGAAAGAAGAAGGAGAGAGTCAGCTAGCATGCTCTTCTTCCCCTCCTTCTTCTGAGTGTCAGGGGCCAAGCAGGAACAGAGTGAAGAGGAAAAAAGACGCTTTGAGAGGAAATGATGGGGAAATGACCAGGGCGGGAGTGGGGAAGTCAATAGTCTGGGGAGATGGTGAAGTTGGCAGCAATTCACGTGGCTATGTCCCCAATTCCTGCCTGTCTCTGGGCTTGACCACCTTCGGGTTTGGGGCTCTAGGCCTGCATCTCTGACTGCCCTGTGCTTCAAAGTGTGAATCGGGGAGGTTATGTGGGTGGAGGCTTTTCAAGGCTCACATGTGCTCTCATCTTTCCTAAGATAGCAGGGCCAAGCTTGCTGTCGATTGACTGATTTATCCATTCTGTTGGCCTGGTCCTAGAACAGCCACTTGGAGGACAGAGAGGAGGGAATGCTTGTCAAAGTAGGTAGAGAGTGGCATTTCGTGATTGAAGTTTCGTTATCTCCAGAATATTCCTAAAGCTGTGTTTCTGCTTGGTGACACTTGACAGAATCCTCTGAGACCATTCCCCAAATGCTGCTTCACCCAAAACTTAAAAGAAAGGATCCCGATTCTGATACCTTCAAACAAAATCTAAAAACTACAGATCCTTCATTTATTTTAATGGCTTCACATGGTTTATACTCAATCTCTGGCTGAGCAAACACATTTAGTCTTCGTTGTGGCATCATTAAGGCTTTGGACTTGGCATGAGAGGATCAAATGTTTAAATGTTCGGAAGTGTGTGTTGGCTTTCAAGCCCAGAGCTCTACTTTGTCAACTCCATGTCATCTTCATGTGTAGGTCTTGTCATATATCTCTGGTTATGTGTGAGTTCAAGTGCATTTGTCCTCAACAACACACTTTAGTTATCAAAAAAAAAAAAAAAATTCTGCTTTCTTTTCTGATCCTGAGTTCCTACAACAGGTATTAAATGCCAGAGGTGAGAACAAAATTCTTCATTCCACTCTGACTCTTCGTTGCTGCTTTAAGCCATGGTGAAGTGGTGAAGGCTGGGCAATGTGCAAGCAGTGAATGAACCAAACCACCCATGAACAGGAAAGGTTGTGAAGGCAGGCAAAAGGGAACGGATAGTGGGGAAACAATAGAGCAGTGATCAAAAAAAGGTGTTTCCTTTTGCACATCTTTGATGAGATTTGCTTTTGTATTTTGTTATGTCCTATCATCTTAAATAGAAATCAGAATACGCGGCTACATTATATTGCCATATCCCAACGTATCCCATGTTGATTCACTTGCTGTATCAATAGCCAGGCTTACTGTTTATAGGAACACTGGCTGAAAATCACGAACTTCCCTGACCTATCTTACACAGTTTACAAAGAAACTATTTAGTGGTGTCTTACGTGAGCTTCCACAAAGCAGGAAGGGCAGAAGGTAAGTCTAGACCTAGAGAAAACTGTTTTATCAGTTTATCAGTCTTCTGACTGAATGTCTCAACCATCAGTATGTATTATTAATCAAATGGAGTGACTTTTCTCCTGCTGATATAGCAATTGCTTCTAAATAAGAAAAAGTAATAGAGGGCAGAGTTTTTGAGCTGTCACTTTGAGTCAAGTGCTTGTGTGGCAGATAAATGGGTAATAGAGTAAGCAAAGTCACTTTGAGAACCGTGTAAGCTTGAATCTGTTTGTGTATTAACATGATGAAGTAAGATGCAGGATAAAGATAAAGTTATTTGCAGTTGGTCCAGAGACATGTTTTTTTTCTTTTTTTTAACTTTGACCTTCAGTCCAATCTGTGCAAGGAGCTGTCAAGTAGCAGCACAGCAAAAAGGATTAGGAAATGTTTAATTACCCCAAGTTGAGGTGGATTTTCATAGCACCGTTTCTGTCACAGTTCCTGAGCTCACTACATCTCTGACCTGCATCTCAAGGGCAACCTTTTTTATACCCCTACTT